TTGTCACAACAAATGGACCAATATTGGCACAGTATTATTTAACTGAAATCCCTAGTGCTACCTATTATTTTTTATCCCAACTAGATTGGAGTTCCTGCAGGGTAGTGTGTGCGTTTCTTATTCACCTACTTTATGAACACTAATAAGATACTTAGAAAGTATTTCTTGAGTGACAACTAGAAAGAGGTCTCAGAGTTTATACTCTAATTTCTTCCTCCTTTTTAGGTGAGAAAATTGCTTAGGGAGGTCATGTGTATTTTCCTTATGTTCCATGTTAAGTTCCCTGGTTAGTTCATGGTAGAGATGGTACTGGAAATCACATCTTGTGATAACTTGTTTGCTGTATGCAGAGGTGAGTTTATCATTGAAAGCAATGAAGCTTAATTTTCAGGACCAAATCTGAGGGCCTGTGAAGGACCCTAGCAATGTATTCACATGGTCATTTAAAAAACTGTTTTATCTAGTGTTTAGTTCATGTGTAGAAAAAGTGCAAAGGTCCTCATTGTGGTACTGGGGTTTGAACTTGGTCTTGCGCTTGCTAGGCAAGCACTCTGCCACTTGAGCCATGCCACCATCCCATGTAGCTTAATTAAGACTTTTAATAAACTGAACTTATCTATGTAACCAGCACACAAAGAGACAGAACATTGTCAGTATGTGGTCACATAATTTTGAAGAGTTTGCAAATGTGAGTTATTTTAACCACAATCAGCACAATCTTTTTTATCCCTACTTCTCCTCTGTTATGCTTCTTATGTTGGGTGACAGTGTAATGACTGTGAGCATTTTTGGGATCTGATTATGGGGATTATAATTTTTGGGATCTGATTATTGACTTGGAGATGCCTTTAGTTGGGTTTTGTTTTTTTGGTTCAGAGTCTCTGTTTGTAATCAGGGTGTTGCTAGTCATTCCAGTTTAGGCATAGTTTCTAGGAATTCTACCTGTTGTGCTAATCCACTTGGTATTGTGACATAAACATTCAGGGCTAGAGGTGATACAGTGCTATGAATGTGTCCTGTGACATTTGGCAACCATATGAGTATGCGATAAGTACAGGAAAAACAAGGTTTGATACCAAAAGCCAGTCTGTGGAGAATTATTCCAAATCTTAGTGCTTCATATGAAAAAGACTTTGTTAAGAATTTTCCTAACTTTGACTACAGTCCCAAAAGTTTATGTAAAATTATAGGTAATGGCCCTTTGCTAGGAGAAACTTCTAAGCCATCACCATCAACAACAACAAAATGTATTGAATTATGCTAGAGGAAGGGCTGAGTTACTTTTCTGTTATCTCTGAAGAAAGTGTCTATAAAACTCATGAGAAAGTGTGGTAATAGCATTAAGATTGACATGTAGCTCCGTGGAATAGAATGAGAGTCCAGAAAGAAACTCATACGTCCGTGGTCAACTAATTTTTGACAAGGGTGCCTAGATTCAATGGGGAAAGATTAGTCTTTTCAACAAATGGTGTTAGAACAACTGGACATTGCCGTGCAAAAGAAAGAAGTTGGATCTCTATCTCACACCACTTAACAAATTAACTCAAAATGGAACAGTTAAAATCATAAAACTTCTATGTGGAAACATAAGATCTTGGATAGGCAATGAGTTCTAAAGTATGATACCTAACACACAAGCAACCTGTGTTACTTTTTTTTTTTTTTTTTTGCAATGCTGGGTTTTGAACTCAGGGCCTACACTATAGGGTCTTGTGAACCCGGGCTGGCTTTGAACCACGATCCTCCTGATCTCTGCTTCCTGAGTAGCTAGGATTCTGTGTTACTTTTGTGTTGTTGTGACAAAATACCTAACATAAACAACTTAAGGATTTATTTTTTTGCTCATGGTTTCAGGGATTTCAGTCCATTTCGCTGTATTGATTGTGGGCTCCTTGTGAGGCAGAACATCATGGTAGGACTGGTGGAGTGGCTTAGACGTAAGAGCACCTGCCTAGAACATCATGGTGGCAGGAATATGCAGCAGAGGTTGCTCACTTCATGGCAGACAGGAAGCGAAGAGAGGAAGGGCATCCAGGACCAGGTATAATTGTCGAAGACCTGCTCCCAGTGATGTACTTTAACCCGACCTCCTAAAGTTCCCACCTCCTAAAGTTTCTATCACCTTCCGAATAGCAGTATCAACTAGGGACCAAGTGTTCAATACATAGGCCTATGAGAATGTTTCATATTTAAACTATAATACAACTAAAGAAAGAAATAGGTATTTGGATTTTTTTCAAAATTAAAAACCTTTGTGCCCCCAAAGGACACTATCAAAGTAAAAAAGCAGCTTATACAATTGGAGAAAATATTTGCAAATCACATATCTAATAAGTGTTTGGTACACAGAATATTTAAAGAATCTTGCAGCTCAACAACAAACAACCCAATTTAAAACAACCCAATTTTTTAAAAAATGTGCAAAAGACTTGAATGGACATTTCTCCAAAGGAGATATGTCAGTGGTCAATAAACATGTGAAAATATGCCCAGTAACATGCTATAACAGAAATGCAAATCAAAAATCACAGCAAGAAACCACTTCATACCTTTTAGAAAGTCTATTATAAAAACTGGGAAAATAAATATCCTCAAGGATGTGAATAAATTGGAACCTTCACACATTGTTGATGGGAATGTAAAATGGTTCAGCTACTGTGGTAAACACTTTGGCAGTTTCCTAAAAAGTGAAACCTAGAATTACTTAGGACTCAGCAATTCCACTGATAGGTGTTTATGTAAGAGAATTGAAGATATATGTTCATACAAAAACTTATACATAGCAGCATTAATCTTAATAGACAAAGTAGTTGGCTATTCCATTTGGGGGGAAAACAACCGAAATGTACATTGACTAATAGATAGATAAACACAATGTAGTGTATCTATACAGTGTGATATTATTCAGCTATAACCGGAAATAAAGTACTGCTGTTTCCTTGTGAGAAAGTGGAATATAAAGTATCTGCAAAGGAAGATCCCAAGTCCTTTGGACATCAGGTCAGTTCATATCACAGGTCTCTAGAAAGAACTCGGAATTGGAGGTAGCAGGTATCTCTGCAGGTGCAAGCAGGAAATGGTTTCACAGAACCTGTGAAAGGTACTGCACACACCTCATCCAGGTCAGGCAGGTGACCAACCCTTCTTCTTCCTCCAACCCTTGCAAAATGTTCAAGATTTATCTTGTGGAGAAAGTTAACCCAACTGGCCTCAGACTCAGATAACCTGGGCACTGTGGGAGGGAAATGCCCATCTATAAATGAGAGAACTGGTTGCATCCTAAATGGTAAAATTCCTGGTCCCCTTTTCACTGCCCAGCTCCCGGAACACTAGAAGCTGATTCTGTCTTTTATCTTTTATGAACAAATCTCTTTTCTGCAAAAAAATTGGATAGCCCCAGAGGAAACACTTGAATTTAGGAGTCTCTAGATGGAAATAGCCAGGTCACCTTGCCAGAAGCTCTATAATGAAAGCCATCAGTTGCCCTGTTAGGGATGAAGAAGGGCCTTTCCACCGGGGCATAAGACTTTTCACTTTCACATTAAGAATTAGAAACCAGGGCTGTATTGTGGCTCCAGCCTTCGAGCACCTGTCTAGCCAGTGCAAGGTCCTGAGGTCAAATTCCAGTCTTCCCCTGTTCCCCTAAAAAAATGAGAAACCAACTTCTCAACCACACCAGAAGTGAGAGGATGGTAGAACAAAATTCTGAAGGATGATTTCTAGCCTTGAACCCAATGATATGCTCAAATGTGATGACAGAATAAAGGCATTTTGGACCTTGCCAGATCTCATATATTATTCCCATTCATCTTCTCTTGCTACTGTAGGGACAGGCCTACCAAAATGAGGGAGCACACTATGAAAGGGGAGTGCAAAGAGGAGAGGAACCTTATGTACAAAAGGAAAGGCAAAGGGATAATAACCTAAAGAGCAAACCCAGCCAGCTAGAAGATTGGAATTCTATGCAAAGTCTTAGGTTTTTTTTTTTTTTTTTTTT